TTTCCTCAGAATAAACTTGATAACAATATATGTATATAACACTATAGTAATTTTTTGAAATTATATGTGTGAATAAGTGGTGATACGGTCTTAAAAAATATTATGGGGGATTTTTGCTGAATATGGGGGTAAAGAAATTTAAAAAATTTTTATGAACTACACAAGTCAACAATTTTTTTTTTATTTGGAGCACGTGTTTAACTTACCATAATATATGCTGGTTATATACACAACTATACATATGTACATGTATGGGAAATCAGACTATTATATGACCTTAGTAAGTCGTTTCAATTATTTCCAGACATCATTTTTTGACATATTTGAGCTGCTTACAACGAAGAGTTCAACTTARAATTRAAAAAATATCAGAATAATAATTATCAAGAACTGAGAGAAAGAAAAAAACATAACCAATTATTCCCGCCTGACAGTTGATTTGTATGAATATTGCCTAAAAAGGAATTAAGGAATCATCGATCTCAAAAAGTTTTGCGTTTCATTGTTGATTAAAAGTCACACAGGCATTTAAGCATACTCAAATAAAGTTAATAAATACCTAYATGATCCCACTTGTGAATTCAAAAACCGTCAAACCATAAAATTTTATTAATTATTTAGTCAGAAAAACTCAATGAACTCAAAAGTAAAAATAAAAAAAATTAGCAAAAATGTAGAATATGAAAAAAAAACGGCTTTGTAGTGGCGCGAGAAGAAAAAGGCTTAAGTAAAAATTAAAAAGAAATAATAATGAACATGTGAGATCTGTGGAAAGAAAAAAGTTATAACAATTGTTGTTTTAATTATTTTGTCATATATTTGTATAACGTCACCTTAAATGCAAAATAAGGTAACATACCTTTTCATAACTTTAAAGGCGAAGGAAAAGCGATATAATATAAACCATTCAAATTGAAATAAAATTATAGTTTTGGTTATAAAGTGGTTATATATGGGTTATCACTTGGTTATATATTGGTTATCATACACTCATATTGAAATAAAATTTGAAAATTTGGTGATATAATGGATATATATTGGTTATTATATCGGACAGTGATTTCCGATTTTTTATAATAAGTTTTTTTTTGCATTTTATATGACGAGATGTATATGCCAGTCTTAACGCACAAAATGCATTTATAAAAATAAAAAAAATATTTAAAAAGTCTAACTACATTTCAGTGTCTATAACAGTTACATACATATCTTGTTGTGTAAAAATCCCACATTTGATAACCAATTAAATGCCAACAACTCTACAACTAAACAACCGCACAAGTAAAATCTCATAAATAAAACAACAAATCGCGACCAATTCGTTAGAATCGTTCTAAGTGCTTTTCGAAAGCGACTCGCAGCTGATTGGTTAGTTTGTTTAGACGATTGAGTTYACTTACGCGTATTTATTCGTATTTATTATTAGTAGCCACATACGAATACGAATAAAATCGCTTGAGTCTATTTAAATATGCTTACGTACGGTTGAATTAATTTCTAGAAAGCGGCCATTTTGTTTATATCAACGAATAGAAATGTATTTTATACTTAAATGTGTTGCTTGACCATTTTTTAACAGCTTCCATTAAGTGAAGTGAAGGCTTTCAGTCGGCTATTTTCATTGAAGCAGACAAAAATCGAAAATAACAGAAATTCATAGTGAAAGCATTACAGTACACACACAGACGTACACACCCATTTGCATATAATCACTTCGTCGCAAGTRATGTGATATAAAAAGCCAAAATAGAACACTTGAAAATAATAAAATAATTCAAAACAAATAATGCATGTCATTATAAACCATACGCGGCTACATAAACGCAGCCACACACATGCTTACATATGTTCAATATGTATACACATATACATATGTACATATTTACTCACATTTGATGGAATGTAAATTTTTGGTTTTCGCCGTACAATGGCACTCAATTATTTGAGCAGAGAAAAAATAATCACCCATAAATTCTCGCCTTCAATAATTTTGATGCTTTTCATCTTTTATCCATTAAGCGGCGTATGCGAATTAGGCTGTTGGACTTGGCTGGTTGGTCGACGGGCGCGCTTTGCCGCCAGCGGCATGTAGCTCACTTGCTTAAGCAGTTGAATGACTTTTAGTGATGGTTTTGTTGTTGTTGTTTTACGTTGCTGTGGGTGTAAGTGGGTTACATTGGTTTTTTGGATATATGTCGATAATTTTAGTTGGTTTCGCGCATCCTAATTGTATCCTACGAGATTAGAAAATACTTTGTTCTCTCACAAGCAATCAGCCACGTGAAGTCAGCTCACTTGTTTAAGCAATTGAATGTTTGTGGGAAATATGCTGATAATTTTCGTTGTTTTGTTGCATCCTAAATGTATGCTACGAGTTTAGAAAATCATTACC